TGAAGCGTTCACACTATTGTGATCCATCTTTATTCTGCGTGTTTTTTGGTCTGATTCTTGTCCTGCAGTTTTCATCTATTTCAACAAATCATAAATCAGAACGTTCAGCTCTTTCAGGACAATCCTGCTGTGACTTTTGGTGTTGGTGCAGCTTTAGCTTTTTGAAATATTTAACCTTTTCTGGCACTTTTTTTTCTCATAAAAAATGAATTGAGCTCATTTTCCATCCTTCAGATCTTTAGATCTGTTTACAAACTTTTACTGCTCCCTTCACATTTTGTTCTGCTTCAGCTTCTTTCAGCTTCCTTGTGCAAATTAAAACTTTTTTTTTGCCACTATCAACTAATTTCAGCTGTGGAGGGTTCAGCTGTTCTGTACTCTTCAGCTTGTTTCCACAAATTGCAACATTTTTGTGCTTCTTCGAACTTCTTTCTACTAATTTTAGCTTGTTATGCTCCTTTCAGCTTATTTCTGCAAGTTTAATCTTTTTCTACTTTTCAGCAACTATATAGCTGTTTTTATGCTAATTAAGCCTTTTCAGCTAATTCCACATTTTTTGCACTCATTTGAACTTTTTTCAGCCTAATTCAGCAAAAATGCGCTCTCTCCAATTCCTTCTTATAATTTCAGCTTCTTTCTGTTTTTTAGCTACATTTCAGCAGTTTTGGGCTAATTTCAGCTTTTTTCAGATAATTTCTACTTTTTTGTGCTCATTTCTGCTTCTTTCAGCCTAATTGGGCAAATGTGTTTTCTGCTTTCTTCTGCAAATTTAAGCTTGTTCTACCTTTTCAGCTACTTTTTGGTATTTCTTTAGCTATTTTCAGCTTTTTTTCAGATAAAGTCAAGATTTCTGTGGTAATTTAAGCTACTTTCAGCCTAATTAACTTCTATATGCTAATTTCAGCTTGTTATGCTCCTGTCAAAGTGTGCCAAAATGCAGCTCTATAACTTTTGAGATGCGATGGAGATGTTCAGGACAGATTCAGACGGGTCGAAGACGTCTGCGAGGACTCTGTGACCATGCTTCTTTGAAACACGGTCAAATATCAAGCAACAGGACTTTGAACCTCTGTGACTCCTGCAGTTAGTTTGACAACCCCACAAACGTCTCAAGATGTTCTGGAGGCTCCCTGTAGGAGGCGTTCTCCAGCCAGTCGCAGTCTGGTAAACTGCTTACATCACAGCCAGGTAGCTCCTGAAGAAGTCCCGGAGCTGCACAAACTCCTGCAGACGTGATTTGTTGTCCGTCACGCTCTTTTCCAGCTCGTTCCGGGCCTCCAGCGTGGCTTGGATCTTTGCCCTGAATACATGCACCCTCTCAGGGCACAGATCCTCTAAGCGAGACGCCTGGTTCTCCACCTCCTTCACGTCCTCCGTTACGACTGCACAGTCCACCTGTGGAGAATCACAGTGAAGATCCATCATCTCTCATCAGCCTGTTCTCGTGTCCATGACCTCATGCTCATGGCTTTATGCATATGATTCTGCAGGAGGCCCACATGGTGCACAGATGGGCTGCCACGCTGCAGCGAGCTCAGTCTTCACCTTTTGAAGAGGCAGTAATTAATAGGCCTCTGTGGGAGCAGCGTAATGTTCTCAGCTCCAGGAACGTTGGAGAACACCCCTGGATGTGCGTGGATGCCTGTCTGCTGACGCCACATTTATTTCGGTTTGGGCGATTAGCTCATTTCTGCCTTTCGGTTGTACCGAGTCCAGACAGCTGGGAGCGTGTGGTTTGTTTGCGTGTGATAAACACAACACAGACCCAAAAATATGATTTAAATAGAAACACACACACACACACACACACACACACCCACACACACACACACCCACACACACACACACACCTTGCAAGTTTGACATCCAAACAGTTTCTGAGAGTAAACACTAAAGTGAGTCACATGAGTGCAAATAAATATCTTGCTGTGATCTTATACTGGCTTGTTTTAGCAGGGATCACAGGAGCGGCTCTAAAATGATTTAATCCTTTTTGTCTGATAGATTCTAATCTGATTATTGATTGATTATTATCTGATTATTGTCTGAATGTTCAAGAAGCATTCACTCCGTTGTGATCCATTTTTCTTACGTACGTTTTTTGGCGCAATTGTCGTCCCGCAGTATTCAGCTATACCAACAAATCATAAATCAAAACGTTCAGCTCTTTCAGGACGATTCGGCTGTGACTTTTGGTATTGGTGCAGCTTTAGCTTTTTGAAATATTTAAACTTTTCTGTCATTTTTTCCTCGTAGAAAATGAATTGAGGTCATTTTCCATCCTTCAAATCTTTAAATCTGTTTGCAACCTTTTACGGCTCCTTTCACATTTTGTTCTGTTTCAGCTACTTTCCACTAATTTCAGCTGTTTTTTTCCAGCTCCTTTGTACTCCTTTCAGATTCGTTCTGCTAACTATAACATTTTTGTGCTTCTTCTAACTTCTTTCTGCTAATTTCAGCTTGTTTTGCTCCTTTTAGCTTATTTCTGTAAGTTTCAGCTTTTTCTGCTCTTCCGGCTACCATTTAGCAGTTTTTAAATTTTAGCATTTTCAGCTAATTCCACTTTTTTGCACTCATTTCAACTTTTTTCAGCCTAATTCAGCAAAAGTATGCTCTCTCCACTTCCTTCTGCTAGTTTAAGCTTATTTCTACTATTTTAGCTACTTTTCAGCTGTTTTGTGATAATTTCAGTTTTTTTTCAGAAGAAATGGGCAAACATTTGTTCTTTCTGCTTTCTTCTGCAAATTTTAAATTATTCTACTTTTTCAGCTAGCTTTTTAGCATTTTTAGCTAATTTCAGCTGTTTTCAGATACAATCAAATTCTTTGTGGTAATTTCTGCAACTGTCAGCCTAATAATTTCAGCTTGCTATGCTCCTTTCAGATTATTTCTGCAAGTTTTAGTCTTTTTTACTATTTCTGTTACCATTTTGCTGTTTTTATGCTAATGTTAGCCTTTTCAGATAATTCCACTTTTTTTTTTTTTCTAATTTCAGCTCCTTCCACTTCCTTCTGGTAGTTTAAGTTTTTTTCTTCCTTTTCAGCTATTTTTTGCTAATTTCAGCTTTTTTTTTAGCTAATTTCCATTTTTTTGTGATAATATCTGCTTATTTAAACCCAATTAAGCAATTAAGTGCTCTTTCTGCTTTCTTTTGCTAACTTGGACTTGTTCTTACATTTCAGCATGTTTTTAGCTAATTTCATCTGTTTTTCAGCAAGTTCTTCTGGAATAAGCATCCACATTGCATTTTCACAGGAAATGTAATTTCTCTAGTTGTAATACTTGTTTTTCTTTTGTGTGCTGCCCTGAGGTGACTTGTTAAAAACTGCTGCTGTAACAATAAAGTGAATAAAATATATTTACACCACGGGACGGGCCAGCGTTTTCCTCTCACCTCCAGGCGCTCCTGCCTCTCCTGCAGAGCCTCCAGGCTGCAGCGGTCCGGTTCACACTGCACAGCCAGGTCCGTCTCCTCCTCCAGGATGTCCAGGTTCAGTTCCTTGCTGCTGCACAAGCTCTTCTCCACTCGTACCGCCAGGCTGGCATGCTGATGAGACACAAGGTCATCACAAGATCTGCTTGTGTTCCGGTCATCGCGCTCTGCAGTGGATCATTTGATTTTCATGTTGGAAAGTGGTTTTTAATATTGTCTGTGACACTTTGATACATGACCTGAGGATAAATCAAATCCAGGAGCCTTAACCCAGATGTGATCCCAACACCTTTCAGCACCATCACATGCACACATTCAGTATGAAGTCATCTCCGCACCTTGCTCAGCAGCTCCCGGATGGCTTGGTCGTGGCTTCGTGATCGACCTCGCTCCCTCACGGTGTCGTTCAGCATCTCCACGGCCTCTCGGAGTTCCTCCACCGGGTCGCCCACGATCTCAAGCAGGGCCTCGCCACCACAAGTGCTCTGGAGTCCGAGCAAAGCGGGAGCTGATGAGATGTCTCTGTGGAGAGGCTGAAAAACCATTTATGACGATGAGGCAAGGGGCTGGTTCAGTACAAGAGGAGTGTTACGGGACCAAACCTGTCAAGTGGTTTGATGAACATTTTTTCCTCAGTTGAAAGTCAGTCCAATAAAAACTGTGTAAACTGCATATAAGATGTTTCTTACCTGTCCGAGACTAAACGGAGTCCCGTCGAGCTCCTGGCTCTCCTCCAGCTCCACGCGCTCCAGGAACTCTGTCAGCATGAGCGTGTCCCGTAGCTCGGAGTTCTGCTGGCTCAGGGCGCTCAGCACACAGTGGTACCTGGGAAACGCATCACAGCATCTCATGAGGCGAGCGCTACCACCCTTCAGTTCTGATTAGGTCATCTATGGTGCTTCACATCAACACATCCTGTGCAGAGCTGAAATATGAAATGATGTTTGGTGTTTTTTCCTGAATAAATGAACCTTGAGTTGCTTCTTTTGAGCATGAAATAATGACATGTCCTGTAGCTGCTGTATGGAACACCTTTAGTGCCATCAAGTTGAGAGGGAAATGAGACCGATGCACACAAAATACACTGAGATCCCTTTAATTCCTTCAAAACGCTGTTCCTTTAATATTTGCTTTATTTTCGTATACTACTGTTAGCTTGTAGCTAATCTTATGCTACTTTCGGATTTTAGCTAGCGTTTCATGAATTTTCACTGTTTGCTAGCATTTCACTACTTTTAGTTAGCATTGTGCTACTTTTTAGCTAGTGATTTAATACGTTTTACAGCAATGTTTAGCTAGCTTTTAGATAGCATTTTGATGCATTTAGCTAAGGTTTTGGTACATTTTAGCTTTAAGCTAGCAGTAAGCTAATTTTAGCTGCTTCTAGACATGTTTTTCAACTTTCAGGAACCATTTTTTGGCTTTTAAAAAAACAAACAATTTTTTAGCTAATGTACTTTTACTTTTTAAATAGCCTTTCGCCCCTTTTCAGCAACTGATTAATGCTTTTTACATTTTATCTACAATTGTTCTTCATTTAGGTTTTGTTTACTCCATTTACCTACCGTTGTGCTTGTTTTAACTTAAACATCTCAGTTACGACTTCAAAGTTTATCCACCTGTCAGGGTTTACATGAAATGTAATCTCACCGTTATTATTATTGATCTCAGAATGGATTGTAGACCTGGACATTTGACTTGGAGGATTTCTGACAAAGTAGCGCTCCTGTTCAGATGTCAAAATATAGTTTAGCGCTCTTTAGATGGGTTGAAGATGCCCACAACAACTTTTTAGAGAAAACGTTGTTGCATAAATTTTACTGAACTTCTTCAGAGCTCCATTAACATGGCTGTACGTCTCTGCAAGTCATGAGAAGAAACTGAGAATTCCACCAAAGTTGGGGACATTCTGAGACATTCAGGACACATAATAAATGTCGTTAGCCGCCGTTAGCTGATTGAGATACCACCTTTAATGGAGACTGGAGTGGGATATGATTATATGGCAAAACCACTTTCTGTACTTTATATCAGCTCCAGCAAGCAAATGTTAAGTTGTCCGTCTCAGTGCATGCTCAACTTGATGGCACAAAGAATACTCCATGAGGTACTTCTATCTGCACCACTGGTTGCTTAGACTGCAACCTGGAATCACTTAAACGAGACATTTCCTTGTCTGTATTTTCTTTGGTCAGCTTGGTGGTTTTTACAGAAACTGAACTCTTGTTTATAGACCTGGATAGGTCCAGTCCAGTCCAGCAGCCAGCATCGTATGGGCTTACTGAAAGTCCATGGCAACAACCAAAGAGAGAGGCGTCATTATCCAACCAAGTAATGGTTGAATGGGTGAGCTGCGTGTCGGAACAGGGGTAGACCTCGCTGAGAAGCGCCTGGCACATAAGTGAATAAAGCCTGAGCTGCGCAGTTAACGAGCGCACAGAGAGCACTTTTTATTTTGCCAGTTTGGACAAAATGGCAGCCGAAGAGATCTATGAATAGTTCCATGATTCTGGTTTATTGGGTGAAACTGTTTGTCTTAAAACTCAAACTGGAACTTTTATGAATCAACTCTTCCATGTTGCAAACACGGCAAACCCAAGCCTGTGACCTCTCGGAAACTGTGATGCACTTTTTTATCCCAACGGTGGCGACTGGCAGAACGACCAGATTCATAGTACAAATCTTCCACGACGAAAGAACAATCAGTGGGGTTTCTTTCTCCACTCCAGTAAAAACCTACTTTTTCTCCACCTCTTCCATCCGCGCTGGCAGATCTTGTACGTGTGGGAGACTGTGGCCACGAAGGCGGTCCACCTCCTGCCTCAGAGCGCCGAGCTCCGGGCCGCGTGCCGCCACCTCTTTCTCCAGCAGAAAGCTCTCCCTCTCAGCCACGCTCATGGTCTCGGGGTCACCGGCTAACGCAGACGCCTTCATTGAGAGCTCCACCGACTCCAGCCAGGCCTCCAGGCTGCCAAGGGCTTGGAGCACTTTCACAATCTACGCTCGAAAAGCAAACAAACGTTTTAGTATTAAAACAAGAAACAATGGGGTAATAATAAGCATAGGCGTCACAACAACTATATGTGATGGGGACGTGTCCCCCCCCACATTTGAAAAATATTAATTTGGACCCCCCCACATTTACCATTAAATTTTAGTTCACCCAGCGCTGTTTGTATTTCTTCAGGAAAAATCCATTCCACTTGATTAATAAGAGAATACTCAAACCATTAAAAGTCCACTCCGGGTTTTCCTGGTTACCGACAACAACTCATCACACCACATGCAGTGTTTCTTCTAGGTCACTTGCCTTGGCAGGGTGCTCACAGGGGGAGGAGGGGGAGACACCTCTGTGTTGTGCGCTAGCCTAGCGCTACGTTAGTGACATCAGTTGTTGACCGGGGTAGGGGTTTAGGATGCGTAAAAGAAGTGGAGTGCTATGTCTGTAGCATGTTGGCTAGTGCGTCTGTGTTGCTTGCTGCTAGCTTAGTGCTACGTTAGTGCCGGCAGTTGTCAACTGGGCTAGGGATGCTTGAGAGATGCAGAGCATGCTCTGTTCATACAAGGTGAGCTGTTGGTCAGGCTACTTCTTGTGCCATGCTCTCTAATATAATTGAATCAAGTGTTTACTTATGTAGGTAAACGTAGATGTTTAACAGCCTGTTAAAATACACCAGAATGCAGGAAATGGCATCTATTTTATTCAGAAATTTCTGGAGGAGGACCCCCGGAACCCACCAACCAGTGTGACCCCCCACATTACAAATGCTTCTGGCACCAATGATAATAGGTACACCTAATGACATTAGAGTGTACTTTGAACTACATCTGTTGTAAAAGGCTGCTAATTTCTAACCATTTCTCCAAACGAGAGCATGTTTTATATCTCTTGTTAAATAAAACTGTGGTTCTATCTAAGACTGCACATTTATGGCTGAACATAAAAGCTCTAAAAATGGTAGAAATCCTTCAAAATAAGACTATAAATTTCTCTCAGAACAGTTTGACCCAAGAAGAGAATCTGCTCAGAGATAGTTTATGAACATTACCCTGAAGCCCAGCTTCTCTGAGGCCTGCAGGAATGCAGCGTTCCTCTGGTGCCTCCTCCTCAGTTCTTCCCACAGGACCTCCAGCTGGCTGAGAAACTCCTCGATCTTTGAGCTGCCTGGGTGCTGAGCCCGGACCAGCCCGTGGCCCTCCTGAGGAACGGGTTTCAACTCATCAGTACAGGTGGTGCGGTACACATGAACTGGATTTCATGATGTAAAATGTGCGTAAATCTGAAGTTTTGGGTTCACACAGCTTCCTCACACTGAACCATTTTGCTCTCATTTTGAGGACGCATGAACATTCGCAGTATTCTTTTCCAGTTTTTTATTTATTTATCTGCACGTGTTATTTTAGTCATTCGTTTCAAAACCTTCAGCTCATTCAGGAGATTGATACTTTGACTTTTGATTTTTATAACTTTAGCCATTTTTAACATATTTAACTTCAGAGTTTTCCCTCGTTTATCATGGGGATTCCTTTCCCAGCCCCCCCAACTTTCCTTAATAGCCACTTTGACGGTCAAATCAGCTGTATTTCAAAAACCGATACATGGAAGCAGGAGCGTGCAGAGGGACGACTCGCTGTGCATTTCTTTGAAATTTAACAAGATAACCACCTAAAAACAATTATTTGTTTACTTGACATTATAGTACAGGTGCGTCTCAGCTGAACTTTTCATTAATAAATGCACTTTAATGGTCAAATCAGCTGCATTTTACCTGGGCGGCGCGGCAAAATGCAGCTAATTTGACATTTGCTCCAGGAGTTACGGCGCGAGACAAAGGTGGTTTGTATGGCAAGCCAAGTGTATCATTAATAGCCATTTTTACCTATTAATGAGACATTTGGCTTGCCATATAGGTCAATGGCCCTCTAGTGGCTGAAAATGGTAGTGTTCAATTTTTTCCATGTCAGAATGAATGCAGGTGCTAAGTCATTTAAACTATTATATTTTAATTTAACAATCCATGCCACTCATGTGGCTCATCCATCAATCAGCCAATTGTGTGTCACGTCCAATCTTACTTTGATTAACAAGTCGAACCGCGAAGTAGCAAGGGACTACTGTCTTTGCAAATATTTTCACCATAGCAATACAGTACATAGAAATCTCTTCGATTTCTACAACGTTGTTCTTTTTAAAATCTGCTTCTGTGAACTCACTTTATTTTTCTCCACATGCCACTTTGAGTTATCCTTTTGTCACTTCAAGGTATTAGCTACCATTCTGCTACTTTTAGCTAACCTTTTGATACTTTTAGCATTTAGCTGAGCTGCTGCTTTTAATTAACATTTTACTTTTATCTAGCCTTTTGCTATTTTTAGCTTTAAGTTAATGTTTTCTTACTTTTTCCAGTCTTTTGATATTTTTGTCTTAGCTAGAATTTTGCTTCTATTTAGACTTTAGCTTGTCTTTTGCTCTTTTTTGGCTTTTAGCTACACATTTTGCTCATTTTGGGCCTTTTTCTAGTCGCTCACACACTTTAGATTTTAGCTAGTGCTTCTTTTACCAGTTGGCTAGTGCTCTGCTGCTTTTAGCTTTAACAAATCATTTTCAGCTCCTTAGCCAAATTCAGAACAGAAAATGAAATTAGCTCGTTAACATTCACCACGTGTTCATGGACTGGGAATGTGACGATGCGCTTCGGTTTACCCTCTTGACCACCTCTATCCGGACTCTGTTGTTAAGGATTTCTTGCTCGAGGGCGCGCTGACACTCCCTGGCTGCCTCCAGTCCCCCAGAGCTGGCTATTGAACACACCTGAGTTGCCATGGTTACGTTGTCTTTGAGCCAGGACAAAGTCTAAAGAAAGAGAGAAAAAAAAAAACACCTAAAACGTCAAGTTCTGTTGTTCGGCGTACGTGTTTTGCAGCTGCACGTGTCGGAGCTGAGCCCACCTTGTCTGCAGACACAGTGAACTTCTGCAGCTGTGGGTGGTTCTGTGGAGCCGAGGGGAGTCTGGGCTCTGCTCTGGGCGCTTTGCTGCAAACAAGACGATGGTGCTTTACAATAAACACAGATCTTTCCCAGTCAGGCACAGTCAGAAAGAAACATCAGGCTGACCTTTCCTCCTTCAGCTGGTATCTGGTGGCTGTGTGGCCTGAGCTCCCTCCCTCAGCTGATGGAGCGTGGCTCACTGATCGCTGCTCCTGGCTTTGGCTGCTCTGCATCTGTCGACCGCTCACATGGTCACCGATGCTCTGTAAACAGAAGAGTCATGGCCTCTAAGCTGGAAACAAACAACATGCACATGGAGGCTTTCGACAGAGAGTATTTACAGTTAATTTAACGGATTTCTTCAAACATTTTCTAACCGACAGCTTATCAAGTTGATGCAAAAAGTAAAATGCTTGGAACCAGAAGTTTGGACATATTTACAGTAAATGACTTTATGAATGAATGCACAAAGTACAACATGTGCTACATTTTAATTCTCATGATAAAAAGAAATGTTAATAAAACAGAAACTTTGTCACTTTTTCTTTGCCCGGCTCTCATTTAGGCAGCTGTGTTTTTTCAGGATTAAACAGGGATTTCCATAAACCGTCTTTTCGAGCGATGCAGCTGAGTTTTCGGTAAGGTCAGTGCTCGCACAGATCCTTTCTGTGCGCAGAAATATGTTTGAGACGTCAGCAGCCACTAAGCAACATTTACAACCATCTGAGTGCATTAAAGGTCGGCCGGAGGACCCTCATACAGCAGGGGGTTCAAATGAGACGTTCAAGTTTCTGGACTGCAGGGAGTATGGCAAACCATTTGTGTATTTATTCAACACCGTTGACATCAAGGGTCGTTTTCACCCACTAGGTTGTTGCGCTGCCCTGTGCTTCACAACTGGTCACATTAATTCTTGAAGCACTTCCAACCAGTGGCACTTCTGCCCAACAAGTCATACTAGTTAGACATTTTGCTGCATGAATAGTCCAAAAGTCCCAATCCAGTTGGCCTTTTCACACTCCAGTGGACCATTGAACTGAACTAGTTGACCACTGTGTCTTATAAGTTAACTAGTACACAACGAAACCCTTACATGTCAGCTGATCAACACAAATTATGCCTACAAATCAACTCCCCAACCTCAAATATGCACTTTAGTGCAACAACAAAGTTCACGCACAATCATCCATGTACAAAATCCAATAATGGTCAATCAGGTCGTCTGGACAGTTTATTTTTTGTGGAAAATGTTTTGCCCTCTATCCGGAAGGCTTCATCAGTCTGAGGAGTCCCAAGTAAACTGTTTTCCACACTAAGCAGTACACTCATTTAGTGGACCAACCAGTTTGCTGGTGATAAGATGGTTTCTGGGGGCTGTAGTGTCCTCAGCCTGATGAAGCCCTCTGGATAGAGGGCGAAACGTCTTTCCACAAAAAAGAAACTGTCCAGATGACCTGATTGACCATTAATGGACTTTAGTGCAGCCTTAAAATTGAACTAGCTGCCTAGTAAACTCTAAAATGCTCACTAGTCAACTATGGCCAAAATTAGTCACACTAATTAACATGTACTAGTTTACTAATGACAACATAATGGTGTCTAAGTTTCAAATAAAGAACAGTTGTTGACTAGTTTTGTGCAGTGGTCCACTAGTGCAG